CCTTCTGGGTGCGTTTGAACGATAAGGAGAAATTCATGGTGCCTTTTAAGTATCTAAGCACGTGTTTAGCGGCTATCCAGTGTTTCGTCTTATGGTTGCAATTAAATTGGCCTAGCGCGCTTACGACGTGAGCAATGTCTGGTCTGGTGCTAACTGCTAGATACAGCAGACTGCCTACTAGTTCTCGATATGGAACCATGCTCTCCAAATCTTCAGAGTCTTCGGTGTCTAATCTGACACTGCCAACCATAGGAGTGCTGGCGGGTTTGTAGTCGGTCATTCCAAATTTTTGCAACAGGTCTTTAATGTATCCTGTTTGAGAGAGACTGAAACCTTTTTCATCCTTGGTGATCTCGATCCCTAAACAGTATTTTGCTTCTCCGAGATCTCTTAGAGTAAACTTATTTTTCAATGCCTCGATGACGTCTCTTACTATTTCATAATTTTTGGAGGCGATTAAGATGTCGTCGACGTAGATGAGAATAAAGATAGTTCTCTCCCTGTCTGTGTAAACGCAAGGGTCAGCATTGATGGGATTTAATCCGATGTCCTTGAGTACATCCCGTAGCTTCAAGTACCAACGGCGTCCGGATTGACGTAAACCATATATTGCCTTTTGTAAAAGGCAAACTTGACGTCCTTGATGAAACTGTGATAACATAGTCTTGGCCTTTTCTTGTAATTTCCTCGTGGGTTCAGTTTGCATCATTCTTATAAGCATTTCTTCTAGAAGTTCAGATGCCTCCATATATATTTTGGTATCAATATCCCCATGTAGGTATGCTGAAGTAATGTCTAGCTGAGATATTGTCATTTCCAGTTCAGCTGAAAGTGCGACTAATAATCTCAATGAACTTAGTCTTGCCACAGGTGCGAAAGTATCCTCAAAATCGACTCCAGGGCGTTGAGAATACTCTTTTGCAACGAGTCTAGCTTTTCGTCGCTGCAGTTTACCATCAGATCCGTATTTATTTTTCAGGATTGTTCGACAACCGACGATGTTGCTATTTTCTGGCCTTTTGACGAGTTCCCATGTATCATTGACTATGAGATTCTTAACTTCCTCATATACAGCATCTTTCCACTGAGTAACGTCTGGACCTGTGATGGCATCGGAGAATGAAATATCTCCCGCAAGGAAGGCGTACATAGAGTCGTGCCATGTCGTTTCATCTTCTAAGGACGAATCCACAACAATAGGTTGTTGGTTACTGCTTCTTAGAAAGTATTCTTTTCTTGGAAGGTTTGATTTATTAGTACTTGGTCCTCTTGGGCGCCCAGGGCCTCGAGTGGGGGGAACGATATTCCCGGTTTCGTTTCCTTCATTATTAGTGGATGCTACTTCGATAATTTCTTGATTTTTAATTTCCTCTGGGGAAGGATTACAATTTGGTCCAATTAAAGTTTCCTTTGGATTCTCTTGAATTTCGAAATAATCATTCGTTTCTTCGTTAGTGATGTCCTTAGATACCTCCTTTCCGTTGAATTCGTTAAAGAATTTGACGTCTCTGGAAACATGGATTTTTCGATCGCTTGGAAGCCATACTCGGTAGGCCTTTGACGTCTCAGAGTATCCCACGAAGATACCCTCTATGCCTCGTGCTTCGAATTTTCCTTTGTTGGGAGACTTATTCAGAATGAATGCTTTGCAGCCAAAAGTTCTTAAATAGTGAATATTAGGTCGTCTTCCCGTCCATTTTTCAAAAGGAGTTCCGGAATCTAAGCTTTTGGTGATACAACGATTTCTAATGTAGTTCGCTGTTGCAATGGCTTCTGCCCAAAAAGTTGATGGTAATCCGGATTGAATCATCATACATCTTGCTGCTTCGACCAGAGTGCGATTTTTGCGTTCAGCGACGCCATTCTGTTCAGGTGTGTGCGTTACCGTCAAGCGACGACGAATTCCGCAATCCTTGAACAGTTTGTCCAGCTCGGAGTTACAATATTCCTTGCCGTTATCCGATTGGACAGCTCTAATTTTTCGTCCGGTCTGATTTTCAGCCATATTCTTAAATTCTCGAAACTTTTCGGTGACTTCATTTTTGTTTCGCATAAAATACACTTCGCACCAACGACTGTGATCATCCGTAAATGTGACGAAGTATCGTGCACCGCCTTCTGATCTGGTTCGCATCGGCCCGCACACGTCTGTGTGTATGATATCCAACAAGCCAGATGCTCTCTGTTTTCCGGTTGGAAATGGGGAACTTGACAATTTTCCTGCTGCGCATGTTTTGCAATCGATTAGAGTGTGTTTTGTATCAAGTTTCATACCGTAGACGATTTGTGTCTTGCACATTTGTGTAACGTCCTTAAAGTTGAGGTGCCCCAAACGATCATGCCATGTCTTTGTCAGCAATTTTTCATCCTTGACGGCTGTGCATGCTTCTGAAGGTGGTCCCTCCGAAAGATAAAATAGGTCATTGATACGTTCGGCTATCATTTTTACATTGCCTCTTAGATCCTTGACTAATGCGCGATCCTTTGTAAATAAAACTTCATGTTGATTGTCAACTATTTTGGCTACAGACAAAAGATTTGTCCTTAGATCAGGAACATATAAAGTATTCTTAAGTTTTATGCTTCTATCTTCACCGTTGATCGACGCTTTGACTTTAACGTCTCCAGTTGCTTCTATTTTAGTGGCAGTACTGTTTGCGAGTTTTAATCCGCCGGAAAAGTCCGTAGTGCTAACGAAAAGTTGCTTGTCGACACATAGATGAGAAGTGCAGCCGCTGTCCAGACACCATCTTTTGGATCCGTCATGATGATTTATTAATAGTGTCGTTTCACTTGCTTGATCGGTCTGCTTATTTATATTCGCCTTTTTTGAAAAACATTGTGCAGCCCTGTGTCCGAATTTCCTGCAATAATTGCACTTTATTCGAGTATTTGTGGACGATTGATTTGATTTTTCAAAGTTACGCGACTTATTTTTAGATGTGTCATGCGTTTTATTTTTCTGTTTTACGAACAAAGCACCGGAAGTGCGATCAGGCGATTTTTGTTTTCTAGCCTCGCTCTCTTCGAGTATTTTAATTTTTAGTGTTTCAGCGTCTGGTAGCTCATCGCGTGACTCTATTGCACATCGAAAAGTATCAAAACTATTTGGAAGGCTATATAAGATAATAATCGCGAGCATGTCGCCATTGATTTCTACATTCATCGATTGTAATTTGTCAACAGCATCGAAGAGATCATTCAAGTGATCCTTCACGTCTCCGCCTTCGGCCATTTTGTGTAACATGAGACGTTTTAAAAGAGTTGCCTTACGGGCAGGACCTTTAGATGCATAAATTGACTCTAATTTATCCCAAACATCTTTTGAAGTTTCGCAACCTTTGATTTGTTTCAATTCGGTTGGATTAATGGATAATATAAGGTCTGACTTAGCTTTACGATCCTCGAGGATCCATGCGTCGTATTCCGCTTGTGAAGCTGCACGTGTCGTAGGATCCGTTGAGATAACAATTTTTGGCTTATCTCCAGAAACATAACCCCATGTGTCGTTCTTTATCAGCAGGGCCTCCACCTGGATTCTCCACGTGTCGTAGTTGTCTTTAGACAATAATTCAAGGCGTGTAGAATTTATGGTATTGTATGCCATGGCGCTCGTTCGTGTGCGTGAAAAAAAAAAATTGACTTGCACGTTAATATTTCTCGGCACTAAATAATTTCACGAAAAGGAAAAGTGTCTCGTTGTAATCGCGTCCGTAAATAATTTTGAATGATTGAAAGTCCTGCAATCTCAGTCTGATCTCAGACTGGTCTCGCCCTGGGCCCATAACCTGTTGAGGTAAGGCAGTGGTGGACGAATAATCCGGACACAGATTAGTTACAAGAAAAACACAGTTTGTTTTTAATGAGCTCTAAATAAGGTACAGAGTGTACATCAAAATAAACTTATGATATTTAGGCTCGTACAAAGTAATAGAACACGCTTGAACATAACGTGGTACGTTACAAAAGGAATGAAAGAAAGAAGTAGGTAGTGGCGCCACGAGGCGCAATCGATAATCTAGTGACTATCGTTTGAACATATTATAGTCAAAGAGCGGGGAAGTTGAATTCCAACATTTATGTGAAATCTACGTGATGATTACATGGTCTTTTTGCTATGTTGACTATGTAAACTATAAAAATTTATTGTTTACGTAATACAAACTATAGATTCTTTAGGAAATTTTTTAGGAAACGTTTGTAAATTATTAATCAAGATTTGTATAAGGATTAAATTAAGGAAAGTGTAACTTTTATTACTCTTTATATTTTTCATCACGCGTGCACGTAATGTGCCCTATACCGCAACGCTTTTGCGTCCGGGAAATAGTCAATATCTCAAGCCGTTGAGTTATTTCTCTAATCCCACTCTTCTGCGCAAAAACGTTACTGTATAGGGCACATTACGACGAGCACTTGTAATGAAAAATTTTATGTGTAGCGAGTGGGAGTATATTTGTTTATAGTTCGGCACGGGCGCGAGCGCACGAGCGAAGTGATATGTATATATATATATATATATACATATCACTTCGCTCGTGCGCTCGCGCCCGTGCCGAACTATAAACAAATATACTCCCACTCGCTACACATAAAATTTTTCATTACAAGTGCTCGTCGTAATGTGCCCTATACAGTAACGTTTTTGCGCAGAAGAGTGGGATTAGAAGGTGTAGGCGCAAAGGATAGGCAAAGGTCAAATTTTTTTTTTAAATGGAATGATGTATTTTTTTATTTACATTCTGATAGAGCATCTCAAGACGAATACAATGACCTATAATTGAAGGTCATTCAAGGTTACGCAAGGTCAATAATGGAATGTAATGGAAAATAAATTGTTTTAAGGCACTCTTCGAATAATTTCGTGTCTAATTTACTTATTTACATACTTACCGCTACGACAAGTGTTCAAAATGATGACCCTGAACATCGACACATTTTCTGAAACGTGTCGACACAGATAACACTGCACGACGAATTTCATTCGGATCAATCGCAACTCAAGCTCTTCTTATACGCTCTTTCATGTCTTCTCTTGTTGTCGGCATTTCGCTGTACACTTGTTGTTTTAACTTTCCCCACAAATAAAAATCCATAAGTGTTAAATCTGGGGAACGTGCGGGCCTGTTATATCCTGACCGACCAATCCAACAATCTCCAAATTTTCTGTTTAGCAATTCAGTAATAATCCGTGCAGAATGAGCAGGACATCCATCTTGTTGGTACAACATTGATTGTCGTACGTTTAGTGGAAGATCTTCTAATAATAGTGGCAATATTTCTGTTAAAATCTGTGCATACTTGCGACTATTTAATGGTCCATCGATAAAGTGAAGATCAATTATTTTATCGTTAAGAATTGAGGCCCAGACGTTTATAGACCAAGGTCTCTGCTTGTCCACTTCTCTCATCCAATGTGAGTTTTCTACCGACCAATAGTGCATGTTGCGAAGATTTACTTGTCCATTGTTTGTAAATGTAGCTTCGTCAGTAAATAAGATTTTAATGGCAAACATATCATCTTTTGTAGTCTTTGTAGTGCCCATTCACAGAATTGTACACGATTTTGAAAATCATTGCCATGTAACTCTTGATGAAGTGAGATATGGAAGGGATGAAATTTGTTGGAATGTAGTATTCGCAGAACACTTCGTCGACTAATACCACTTTCACGTTCAAGCTAGACAGCACAAGACTGTACTGATGTACAAGTATGTGGATTTAGGGCTACAGCGGCTAAAATGTTCGTCGAATTTCCGTCGTCAGTTGCTTTCTTGATTCGTTTGCGTTTTTTATTATCCACACTTCCTGTTTCTTGAAAAGTTTGTACTATATTTGAAAAAACAGAGAATGAAGGATGTCGACTTTTTCCGCTTTCGTATAACGCATTTTGCAAGACACGCACTTTGATCGATAGATGAATTCAAACTGATGAAGTAAATATGAATAATGCTACGTGTGATTCAATTTAAACAGTATGTAAATATTTACATACGCTTGAACAATTAGCGGTATACCGGTAAACAAGAAGAGAAAACACGAAATTATTCGTCGATGTTCAGGGTTATCATTTTGAACACTTGTCGTAGCGGTAAGTACGTAAATAAGTAAATTAGACACGAAATTATTCGAAGAGTGCCTTAAAACAATTTATTTTCCATTACATTCCATTATTGACCTTGCGTAACCTTAAATGACCTTCAATTATAGGTCATTGTCTTCGTCTTGAGATGCTCTATCAGAATGTAAATAAAAAAATATATCATTCCGTTTAAAAAAAAAAATTTGACCTTTGCCTATCCTTTGCGCCTCCACCAAAAAAAACAATTATTGACATCACATTATGTGCCCCTCGAAACCAAGCAACTTTTGTTTGACACTTTTTCTTCTATTGTCAAAAACAAGCGAGTTATTCAGGTGACCTGTTTTAAATGCCCCTGTATACAGGGTGGCTGAGAATAACCGCATAATATTTCACGGGTGGATAGAACAGACTATACTGAGTCGAAAAGTCCTGTACCATTTTGGGATTGCAGCAATAGTTAACGAGATATTAATTTTTAAAGATTGGCAAATACGCGCGTTCGTCCAGCCTACCACACCATTGAGTGTACGCCTACAGAACGCCACGATGGGCGCGCGGGCCGCGGGAAGCGGACGTTTGGGGGCTAGCGGCAGTGTGCGCGGCGCAGGCGGCGGAGCGCTTGCCAACCATCCCCACTCTTCGCGCGGCTAGCTATCGCGATAGCGAATATTCGGCGCTTCAGAAATTAATATTTTGACTCCGAAAATCGGGAAATGATCGAAATCTTTTTGAGAACTCAATTTAGTTCGCTCTAAAGCGTGTACATGCCCGTTTACATACAGAAAAATGTTATAAATATGAATTGTTTTCAGTAAATAATAAGTGTATTTTAATTGTACCAACAACGTTCATTAATAAGATAGAGCGGACTAAACTGAGTCGAAAAGCCTTTTACCAGTAATTTGTAATTTTCGCAATATAGTTAACAAGATATTAATTACTAAAATATTAATTTTCAAGAATTTTTCACTCAAGTACTATCAACTTTACAGAAAAACAGCAAGAGACAAAAATTGTTTATTTTCTTTTCATAAAGTTCTAGAAATTTTTTCATAAATTTTTATCAACCTTTTAGTGCTGCATTTTCTTATTAACAACTGTTTTTATGAGAAAATATAGTACTAAAAAATTCTGAAAAAATTCCCAGAGCTTTATGAAAATAAAATAAAAAATTCGACGAAGCGCTATCATTTCCGCACCACCTGGCGGTAGATAGCATGGCGCATTTTTTTTTAAGTGGTATCCCCAGTAGGTATAATCCACTCTTGCATTTTAATGCAAGAATTGTTCGAAGTGCCTTCCTCGTTCTCGTAAGCAGATTTCGGCTCTTCGAGTAATATTGCGCGTCCCACGGTGCGCCATTTCTGGTGTAATGGTATTGAAAGCTGCGAAAATCGCTTCTCGTGCTTCAGCTTCAGTACCATTACGAATGTGCTCGACTAAATTTTTGATGTAACCCCAAATAAAATAGTCGAGCACGTTAAGATCCGGCGACCGCGGCGGCCAAATGATTGGGCCACCTCGACCCATCCACTTGTTCGGATAGCGCGTATCTAATACGTCACGTACCTGCCGCGAAAAGTGCGCAGGAGCCCCGTCTTGTTGGAAAATGAGTTCCTCCCGTTCGTGAAGAGGAACGTCTTCGAGAAGGATCGGCAACTCATTTTCCAAAAAGTCGGCGTATATTGGTCCCGTTAGCCGTGGCGGAAGAAAGAATGGACCGATCTGAAAATTACGAGAAGATTGCGATTTTAAAAAGTACGAGAGAGAGAGAGAGAGAGAGACAGAGAGAGAGAGAAATCCTTAAATTATAAATCTATTACTATACTTACGATTCGGTTCGCCACTACTCCTGCCCACACATTAATCGACCAACGATACTGAAATGCACCTTGGCGAATAATGTGCGGATTTGCTTCAGCCCAGTATAATTTATTCCTCGAGTTAAACACACCGTTCGGTGTGAAGGTTGCTTCGTCCGTCCACAGGATGCGGTCGGGGAAAAGAACATTCCGCCGACACTGTGCGAGCAATCCTGCGTTACATTTCGCTGACAGTTAATATTTCTTAAAAACAGCGAAATCATTTTATAAAGATCAGACAAATACCTTCACAAAAACAGATGCGCGGCTCTTCGTCTCTTGTGAAAAGCTGCTGCACCCGTTGTAAATGGTACGGATGCAATCCGTTGCGGCGTAAAGTAATTCGCACCGCATATCGGGAGAGACCGAAGGCGTGAGCGATACCACGTGTGCTGCTTCTGGGATTTTCTTCGATCGCTTGCAGAATTCTTTCCTCATCTGCCACGTCAATATGCATTCGATCACCAGCATATTGCCCAGTTCGCAACACGGATCCCGTTTCCCGAAATCGTCGAACACATCTCAAAATAACGTGTGCGTCGGGATGTCTTTCGCGCGCGGGAAAGCGTTCCGCGTAAAGGCGGGCGGTGGCATTGCCAATCTTTAAAAATTAATATCTCGTTAACTATTGCTGCAATCCCAAAATGGTACAGAACTTTTCGACTCAGTATAGTCTGTTCTACCCACCCGTGAAATATTTGGCGGTTATTTTCAGCCACTCTGTATATACAATATGTAATATACAGTTCTATTTTGTAGACACACATACGTTATAGATAATAATATCAATTTCTGAGATCCGGGCAACTTTAAATTGCTACAACTTCGTTGAAAATCAATGCTATTTATCAAATTTTTTTCTCAGATCATGAAAACCTAATCTATCAGTTTATTATCTACATAGTATATTAATTCATTGTCTATATAGATGACACCTTATACAATTTACATTGTCTACACTTGGACGTAGAATATTATAATTTACGCGTAGATGCACAACCCTGCTTTATTAATTCTCTCCAATTTGTTTTTGAATTATAAGGAGTCTTGATTGATTTTGTTATTATAAGGTTTACAAAAATATTTACTTTGCAACTCAAAATTCCTTGAGGGGATGCTGGAGTGACGGCCGAACTTGATCGAGGTCGATAACACGTCGTTTTTGACGTTTTCGTTCCTGTCGAACCTCTTCGCAATAGTTTCACAGAATAAAAATTCCTTCTCCATGATTAAAATATCCGAGTTAATGTACCTTGCCCTGATGTATATTGTGTCCAAAGCTGGAAAAAGTATGAAATTATAGATTTCTTTATCCACTTAAGCTCAATATGGCGACCAACGCTGAAGATAAAAATGGATAAAGAAATCTGTAATTTCATACTTTTTCCAGCTTTGGACACAATATACATAAGGGCCAGGTACATTGGCTCGGATATTTTAATCGTGGAGAAGGAATTTTTATTCTGTTAAACTACTGCGAAGAGGTTCGACAGGAACGAAAACGTCAAAAACGCTTGTTTTATCGATAATACAGGCGGGTCCAGCATCACCTTAAACCGTGATACCATATGGCCATTCTTGGCGCGATCTGCCGGTCGACTGAGGAGTCGAACAGGGATTCAAATACGCTCAAGGAGTCGCTGCATAATTACAGAGCAATTTGGTAACGTCACATTTGCGAAATATCGCAATGGTTCATAGTATACTACTAGTTCACTGTTGGACCACCTACATATTAATTTATTATAAATAATATAGTATATGTAAGTGGATATTTATTATTATTTATTTAGTATAATAAATAAAATAATTTAATAATGTTAAAAATATGTAAAATTCTTATATTTATAAAATAATGAAAAAAATTACAAAAATTCACACTTAAAAATAATATAATTCCTTATAGTTACACTATTTTAACAGCTGTAATTGTAAATGTATTACTTTTCAGCATTCGGTAATTTGAAATGGTAATAAATTACTTTTTGAGGAAAAAAACGGTAACTCTGTAATTTTCACAAAGTAACTCCCAATCCCACAATTTTTATTGACAACATCTAAATATGGATTACCAAAACGTGAATTCCTTAAACGTTTGGTTGAATTTGCTCACGGGTAACCTGCTACCGATGATCAACGGTAACGCACCTATTTCATTCTTTTGGAAAGTGTACAGTATCTTTATATGGATATTAGAAATATCTGTAACGATCTTGATGATACCTGGATGCATGTACGTGTCAATGGAGAAGGCTGTAAATGACAGCCTCATCTGCTTAGTAGAAACAATAGAAATGTTTTTTATGATTTGGCGAATTCACGCTCGTAAACATTTGATGTATGAATTAATCCAAAAACTGAATGAGATGTTGCATACTGCAGATAAAACTATGAAAAATATCGTGACGGAGACTTTGGATCCGATAAAGATTCCATTTAATTTCTATTGGACCACCGGCATGATGTCGATAATAGTGTGGCATTTCGTAACGTTCCTAGTAATATTCGAGAAAAATCTATTTTATTACGAAGATTTCAGACTACCTGCTGGTTTTTTTAAACAGCCATTCTCTCTCAAAGTCTTTCTATTAGCAGGTGTATACATATTGGTCAGTATGACATATTCGTTCATAAAGAAAGTTGGTGCGGAAGTATACGTGGTGCATTTGATTTTAATGATAACCGCGCAATATCGATATATGGCGATAAAAATTGCAATGATATTTCAAGAAGGAAATGAAGACGATGAATTAGAAAAAGAAGGTTTTCCTGCATTTGATCGAAAAAAAGAAATAGAAATTAGAGCACTCTGCCGACATCATCATGATGTGATACAGTAAGTATTTCAAAGTTTATTTAAGTATGTTGTTTTTAATCAGCTTTGTGGTAAAAAAGAATATAAATATAGAATAATGATTAAGTAATATGACAAATTGCTTCTTATGTAATTAGATTATTTGATTAAATTATATTTTAAATTTACTTTGATAACATTTATATTTAAATTTACTTTAGGTAAATATTGACAAAAGAAGACCACCCTCTGATGATCTTGACCTTGACATATGTTGTCACGACCTTGAGTAACCTTCAACAGGTTTTAGCTGTCGCTCGTCCTTCGTTAAAAAGTTATTAACAAAAAAAGTTTCAAAGATAATGTATCATTTTTGCAAAGGAGCGTACGACTTCCACACGGTTTCCACGCTAAACGAGAGCTACCTCACACTAACAAATGGGATGGATTAGGTTATTTTGAACAGTAGTGGAGCCCCCCCCCCGCAGGGGGGCGGAACCTTCTGTATTCATGCATACACTCTACAACATAAAGCAACTTAAGTTGCAAGCATCTTCACAAAGGAAGAGATGGGGTGAGAGTTGATTCGCGTGAGTACAGTTGGTTCTGCCCCCGCTGCGGAGGACTTCACTAGTGTTAAAAATAACCTAATCCACCCCATTTGTTGGTGTAAGGTAGAGTCCTAGATATCAGAGAAGCGCAACCGATGTTCCGCGTCCTGATTAGCTGACTGTCAGCCAATCATGACATTCATTCAGTGGTATTAAAAATGGCTGACTAATAGACGATTGGTGGATTTCATATTTCGTCTGCAAACGCCATTTTTAATACTGTTTTTAGTAATTTTGCGATACTGACTTAAGCCGGTTGCGCTTCTCTGATATCTAGGACTCTAGCTTAACCGACGTTGGTGAAATTAGCCCTTAGGGTCGTGACCTTGACAACATATGTCAAGGTCAAGATCATCGGAGAGTCAATTTTTGTCAATATTTGCTCTATTTTTAAATATATATTACATTATATTTAATAGGGCTTTAAGGTTTTAAGACGTTACATTAGGCTGGATCCACAACCTCGCTTTAAGAGGCCACAAGCCGTAAAGCCGTAAGAAATTGATCAATCACAGTCAATTAATTTTCTCGCATTCAACTATGATTGGTCAATTTCTTATGGCTTTACGGCTTATAGGGCCTCTTAAAGCGAAGTTGTGGACCCAGCCTTATATTATACGTTTTCTTTCAGCTTAATGTCATTGTTAAAAGAATTGCTGTCTTTAACCTTTACTGTGATGTATATAAATAACGTTTTGCGATTCTGTTTTATTGGTGTCCTAATAGGCAACGTGAGTAATAATTTGTTATCAACATTGCTCTCTCTCTCTCTCTCTCTCTCTCTCTCTCTCTCTCTCTCTTTTCTTTCTTTT